CAAAAAAAGAGCAATACTTTTCAGCACCTCATTTTACTGACTCTCATTGTGCGAGACGAATCGCATTTCACCACACTTTCATACTAATCAGAACGTAAACTTAAGAAGTTTTATTTGTCAGTATAGCTACCCCGAGGTAAATCTTCGTCATGCCCTTCCAACGAAATTTTTTCAAATCATAGCTCACATTTGGATGCATTGTTCATACAAATTTGCCTTTACTTATACAATATGCTCCAATTTACGTTACAACAGGAATAAGTAGCCATAACGACTTTGTTCATGGAAACCTTCCTCGAGATTTTCCAACTTACCATTTTACCTATCTAAAGGCCAGTGCATTCAAGCTGAGTAGAACGGATTCGAGAGAAATGCTCAGTGCAGCAGAGGATTGTAATTTTTTTCGTCCTAGAGCTTGCAACTTGTCTTTGACTCTATTTGTAACATTGTATTGGCAAGGAGGTGGTGATTATGATCATAAGAGAAGACTCATACTTGCGAGCATTTGGAGTACCGCCATCTTTAAGCTCCGATATTGAAATCAAGCTTTTAGCAGCTCCTTACTTTACATTTTCTCGTCTCAAAGACATTTCTACTCTTTAGGCGGAGCTGGTGGCTCTGGTAACTCACGTAGATTACTTCGAGAGACACGAACCACTTTGGCTTGTAAACATTCTTTGCTAGTGCTAGCCCGACTTTGAGAGGCTCGCAAATAAACCTTGGCAGTCGCTAGATCCTTCATTAGCTCATCGTTTGCATCCTCAAGTTGCTGGATGCGACGTTGCAACTGCCGTTCTCTCTCACTATCATAGTTTTCATCTTCAGAACATTGTTGCTGCTCCGTTGAGTACCGAATCAGTTGTTGTAGTTGCGCTTGCATCTGTTTAGCCTTCGCTTTGTAAAACACCACGTGCTTCTCCAGGTCGGCAATGTATTCATCCTTCTTTTGACAACGCACGATGAGCTTCTGCCACTCACTGTCACTTTCTCCGTTCGCTTCGTTGGTCGGCACAAGAACTTGTGGTTGCATCCTTTTCATCTGCTCCAGGGCTTCTGCACTCTCTTGTTGTTGTGTGGCTAGTCGTCGATCAAATTCGGTACGAGCTACCGCCAAACCACTTTCCAGCTGATTTATCACTGCCTCACGCTCATTGAGCAATCCTTGCAATTCATGAACTTCACTATCCATATCACTCACTCGCATCCTCAGTCGAGCGAGTTCGTCCAGACATTTAGTCATTACGGAAGCTACAGCATCTGTATCGTCATCTTTGTCAAGCTTGAGTTGCTTCACAAGCTGGTGTGCAAGACTCTTAAGGGGAGACTTTGTATTTGCAGCGTCCGAGCGTTGCTTCATTGCCATTAAATCGTTTCGTGCAGCTGCCAACTCTGCATCTTGGAACGCAATGTGCGAGTCCAAGTCTACAATCAACTCTTCAAGATCCTGAAGTTCTTGCTGAGCTTCTGTATCCAAGAAATCGGCCTGTTCTTCTCGCTGACGAAGTTTGTCTAGTTTTTGCTCTGCACGAGCTCGTAATTTTTTTAGTCGCTCCAGCTCTCCGAGCGACTTACTTTCCACCAGCATTCGTTCATCAAGCGCACGAAGTGACTCAGACAGATCCGAAATACTTTCGCGTACACTTACGCTCTGACGCAGTTTTTGTAACTCAAGCGCATTTACACGTCGTGTCGCTTCACTTCTGCTCTGTTCAGCCACTTTCTTTTCCTTTAGTAAATGAACCACTTCACGTCGAGTCGTATGATACTCAATTAGCTGATTGACACTGCTTTCAAAGGCAGCGAATAGAGTCTCCTTGTTAATTGACTCCTTAACGAAAGATTTCCTGGCAGTCAGAGGCCGCTCCGACCTCTTCACTTCTGCTGCGTCTGTTTCTTCACGAGCTTTTGTCGGACTACGACATGGCACTGACGAGCTAGAGTACCTCGACTTTGAGTCCTTAGCTTCTCTACAAGCATCGTCAACCACAGAGTGTTCAAATGTTTGGTTCTCACGCTTTAGCGTCTCGACCGAGTGTTCAGCCTCGCTAAGTTGACGTTCGTAGGTCTGCCGTTCCAAAGCCCAGCGCCTGGTCGATTCTTCGCGGGCGTCCAGCAGCTCCTCCTGGTCATCAACACATATACAGCATGTAAATATTTGATTTGCTCTGTACAGAACAATTTCCTTCTCACCGTACATTCTTCTTTTGCAGCTCTTCCAATTTCTGTTGAAGTGCTGTGATAGTGCTCTCGAGCTTTTTAATCGCGTCGCTTGTTTTAAGTCGATGGTCTGACAAGTGGCTACCTCTAATACTACCACGCGAACTTCCCGTAGCATCTCCGTTTCTCGATTTCCGTGGTGCAGATACAGATGGATAGCGAGATTCTTCGATTGGTTCATTGTCAGTGTCCATAACCACCTTGTCGTCATCTCTGCTGTATGCAGTGCTGCTTGCACAGCGAGAAAAAAGCCCACGCGAACTGCGACTTGTTAAGGACGAGCGAGAGCTTCGGCCACCAGGGGACGGAGTGTTTGTACGGCTTGAGCTTTCCTGTTCATTGCTGTGACCCGAACCGATACCTTCACTGTTGGACCACATCTGACCGCCTCGCTCAAGCTCCTGCACACGCCGAATGAGTTTCTCATTCTTACATTTGGCTTCTAATAAAAGTGCTTGCTGTTTTTTGATATCAGCATTCTTTTTCTCGAAAATCTCTTCGTCACGTGTCAGATTGGTTTTGGCTTCCCTGAGTTCATGACGGAGTTGCTGGACTACGATCGATTCGGGCTCCTGTTGAGAAGTTGTGGTTGAATCATGTTCGTGCGCAAGTCGCTGCGATGGTGAGGGCAGCAGTTTTCTAGCGCCGAGAACGCTGCAGTTTGCTGTCTGGATTGATGTGTTTAATAGCTTCACGATCTCATTTAGCCGTTGCTGAACTGGACGTCCTAACGACTTGATCTCGCGCTCCATCACCACCAGTAGTGTAGCCGCTTCCCTTGAGTATGAACGCATACTTTCCACGGCATCTTCATACAACGTCACACACTTGATGGCATGTCCAAGCTGACAACTTACCTTTGCCAGCTCATGCTCACTTTCTGTGCTTCTCTCGTGGTCCAAATTCGACAGATGTGTTTGTGATAACAAATCTGACGACGGCGTCATTGTCTTCTGCAACTGAAGTTGTGTTTGAAGGTTTGCAATCTCCTCTTTCATGCGTGTCATAGCCTTGTCATTGAGCAAACGCTCTTCCTCACTAGCAACACGGTCATTGACAATTGGTTTGTTTTTTATATTTTTCGCTCGATTCGCATACTTCAGTGTGTTTAAAGTCTCTTCAAAGCTCACACTAGCTGGACTGACACAAGCAATCATAAGCGTGCGAGAATTTCCTCCTAAACTGTCTTGCAACAAACGCGTCAGCTTAGAGTCTCGATACGGTACGTGAATAGAGCCACCAGCAGTTCCAACTCGGCGTTTATCGTCTCCAAGCGCACTGATCACATTTCCCAGTGCTAAAAGCCCCTGATTGATGCTCACGGATTCTTTAAAGCGATTAGCTACAGCACCTGTACGTTTTGCGCGCTCAGAGCCCGCCAAATCAACAAGGTGAAATTTTGAGAAACGTCTCAATCCTGATTTAGCATCACGCTGCTCGAGCAATAGCGTGAAAATGGCGTGTGACCGACTTGAAAGCTCGTTCATCAGCGTGCTGCCAGTCACACGCGATGTGCCTCCGACAATAAAATGTCGAAAAACAGCCTCTTTTGAATCAGCGGGTTCCGATTTGACACCAGCAACCACGATATTTCCTTCACCGTCTTCACGAATTGCTAATTGCTTAGACAAAGTCTCGGGATGAAGCAGATCTCGAAGCTCTTCGTTGTAAATTTCAACATATTCTACTCGCAAAGTGTGGTCACATCGATGTTGATTATCGCTACTTTCTTCTTCCAATTGTAACTTCTCAAAGACCGCCGTGATCACCTATTTTAACGATAATTCATACCAGCTTAGTTATTGATCCAAAAAAGAGCTTGTACGCTCTTACGAACGTACCCTTGGAATAATGCCCTGCAAGGTTCCTGTCTTTTCCCGGCCCCTAGCATCTAAACCAGCTCCAGCCATTGTATACGTTTTTCCCGTTCCTGTTTGGCCATAAGCCAATACAGTGGCATTATAGCCAGCTAAAAATCCTTGGACCAACGGCGCCACACATTTATGATAAGTGTCCTATCAAAGTAAACTCAACCAAATCATCTTTTTGAACCCTTTATTCAATGTGAAGACATACCGCTTGAGAGCTTGTAACACCAAGCACATTGTCAAAAGTAAAAGCGCGATCCTTTCCAACAATTAGCTGTTGAGGACCATGAAAGGAATCAGAAGTAGATGATAAGCCGTGAAAAGATGACGCGAATCGAATACAACTCTTGAGTTGCTCTTGCTTTTCTTTTGACGTAAGCGGTCGTATGCGCACACAGACTTGAACCGAGTCCTGCTCTTCAATACGTTCCGGACGACTTCGATCGGCAGTCATGAATGATTCTCAATTTATAAGAGGTGCTGTTATGTGAGAAAGGTCTCATGGAGCAACAAGATTGGAGAAACAAGCGGTTGGGAAAGACTGGTCATTTTGTCGTTACAGTAGATTGGCGTTGAAGGAAAAACGCTTTTTATTTTGAATGTCTTTCAAATTATAAATATTGGGTGAATTTCTGTAAGTATCAGATCGTATGGGCTAAGATTGGTAAGTTATGATGCAATGTCGGTGGACACGCGTGCTATACGTGCAATGCTCGATCCGCACCGGAAAGCATTCAAAATACTAACAATGTTAGAATTAACATAAGGCGTGGTAGACTGAATACTGTTCATACGTATAGATCGCAACCGGGTTCTTTCTCTTATTCTAGGTTCACTATAATTTGCTTACTGATTGACTTCGACCAATAATCAGTGGTGAATCCAGCCATCATCATGTCCGTCATTTCATTAGGCAATATACAACCATTCAGTGATGCAATAGAGACTGTATGTTTCTGAAGCGGGGCTGCCGGAGCTCTTTCGCCTAGAGAAGGTTGGTTAAGGTTGGTTACCGTCGTTCTATACTTAAAACCAGTACGAGTGTAGCGAATCGCGATCCACTTACTCGAAGAGTACTTACCACCTAAACTCAAGGCTAATTAACTCTCCCGTTTAAAATGTAATCTGTATTTTCGGTTTTAATTGCGGCAAAGCCGCCTATATCTAAATCTATAGGTTTTCTTATCTCTACAGTAAAACCTAATTAAATGTTTAACTACTGGCTGTTCCAGCCACGTACTGACTTGTTGTCTAAGTGTAGCCTGATCGCACCATCCTGTGTGACGCACACCCTTCATACCAAGGTACGTTAAACCCAGTTACACTCTCCCCCGTCAAGATTATGAACACATTTATCTGTTGCCTCGAACGAGGCTCGCGTGTCTACGACACCAGGACCTTCGTCACGAATTTTTGCTCAGTGATCCCTGTGTCGAAGACACGGAGGACACCTAGCCTCGTTGGTTTCGAGGACGCCCGCGGGCAGAGTCCTTCTTCGTCTCCTGCAAGCGCTGCAGCTCCGGTCAGTACGTCCGAGGCTTCCAGGGAAGCGCAGCCCAAGATCTCGCAACCGAGTACCCGAGCACCGCGCCGCCACGGGCAATTAAATACATTGATCCTTGCTTTAATCTTGCGGACGCCGTGTCCGTTCCCTGAACTCTCGACTTCCGGGGGGGTAGCATTACCAATAACCTTGATGAGGCACTGAAGCAGCAAGTGGATACTGTTCGTAGGGCGGATCTCATGCACGCGCATCCACGATCGGTCCTTGACCCTCGAATGGAGTACGGCTTCCGCTCGACGGATTCCGCTACAAAAACGAAGGACGCGATCACTCGATCAATGGCGTCTACGTGGTCGGACCCCCAGCCACTACACAAGCTGAGCTTGACGAACGAATGCTGTCCGAGCTCGCTTTTTGGCCCCTCAAGAAATTTCAACAGATAGGTACCGCACTCGACTTTCTGCCCAAAGAGTAGGCGCTCCTATATCTGCGATACGGACGATTCCTGTGGTGCTCGTCCTTGGCAAAACCGCTGCAGATGACGAAGAGCTCTTTGAGCGATGGGTGCAGCGGTATTGGAAACTTTCCTCGCGGTACAACTTACAGTTGAGCTATAAGGAGGTGGACGCGCGTGCGGAGCGCTATCTTTGGTTTGATTTTGCCAAACTCAAGATGTGTCGCCGACTTTCGTCGGATTGTCACCCTGCGATGTATGGGTTGATATCTCACGCCCCCGTGAGCTCTATGGTCTCTCACACGGGTGACTTTGCGACCGCAACAGCTTGGTGCCATAGCTTGAGATAAGCCCATGGTCCTTTGGCTTCCCTTGCTATTGCCGAGAAGCCCAGAGCGTACGACGACGCGGAACGTCATGAACCCTCTGATCAAAACGTTCAGAACTTCTGGGCAGTCGAGCCAAAGTAGCACATTAAAGTATCACAAGCTCTCGAAGTCGGGACATCCCCGTCACTTTACATATAACTGGGTTTGACCCTGTAGACGACGTCGATCCACTGTGCGGAAGACCTTGAAGCATCTTGTGCACCGACTGCCTCATGTTAAAAATTACCACGTTCTGTTGGAGCGGCTGCTAGCCGTCGAGCAGACGAATGCGTCACTTCGTGCAACGGTGGAGCGCCTGGCACAATTGAAGATGAAATTCGTTGTACCCCGTCCTTGAAACCAGTTGCTGGTCCAGTTTCTGGATAGCCGAGCGCCTGTAAGCGCCACCCCGGCGGCAACGCCTCCGCGTTCACTTGCGCCGGATCCCGGCACGAATTTGGCAAGCCCACATAAAACACCGGGTACTTTCGAAAGGTTGAGCGTATACGCAAGGCAATACTTAGCCACAACCTGAAAAGGTCTAATTTACCGTGGAGAGAGCTTGGTCTTGAAGACAGCAGAAATGGCATAGGTAGGAAGGGCTATCGCATTCCATATAAAATTCACAACATTTCCTCTGCTATATTTTTTCTACATGTCGTGGTTTTCAGCCATCGCATCGCTAACGTGTCGTAAGACACTCAGTCTGGCAGACAGGAAGCCATCAACATATGTATGAAGAGTGAGGGGGCTGACATCAGCTAGCCGTTTGGCTGTCCTTTCCCCACCAAACCTTGAGCCATGGCTTGGCGGCGACAGCGGTACGCAAGAATGAATGAGCCCGTTTGCGTCGAACGGTTTGTAGCCGGTAGGCGAATCTACTGCATTGTTCAGAGTGAGCTCTACAAGTGGCAGCATAGCGCTCCAGCGCCTCGGCGTCTCAGCGCTGACACTGAGAAGGACGTCTTCAACGACGCGGTTCACGTGTTCAGTTTGGCCATCCGTCTGCGGATGTTCCGCTGTTGACATAACCGACTTAGCGCCCAGTTTACTGAAGATTGTCGACCAAAACTTCCCAGTGAATCGTGGATCCCTATCAGCGACAATTGTCTCCGGTAGCTCATGTTGTGGAAAGACACGGCACACAAACAGCGTCGTAATACCGACACCGTCGATGGTGGTACCGCCGCAAGATGAGCCATCGTACTTTAACGGTCCACAGAGACCACTACACTCGTGTTGCCTGCCGAGTCCTTCGGCAGGCAAACCCAAAGTCCAGACACATGGACTGCCAGCACCCGGAGGGTACCGATTAACTGACTAGCGGTGCTGCCGAATTCAGAAAGGGTTACACCTCTCATACATGTGCTCGTCCATTTGTACAGCTTGGGCCACCAGTAGTGGCAACTCACCAAGCAGTACGTCTTCTCACGACCGAGATGACCAGTGAGTGGGGTATCGTGGGCTTCATTGAGGATACATTAATTCAAATTCTCATCATAAGGAACCGCAATTCGTGGCGTATCCGTTGGATCGATGCTAAAATACAGCAGTCCGTCATTCAGCGAATATCGGAGCAAACGTGCGCGCAAACGCGCGCACAATTATTTGTCCGAGTTTCTAAGCTCCTTGCCCTCGAGGGTCTGTAGCAGCGCTACACACATACCATCACCCGCGTATGCGGCGCGGATCAAATACGTCACTGACGATGTCACCGTTGGGACTTGAGCAAGCTCGTAGCCCGGCCATCGTGACAACGCATCAGCCAAAGCATTCTGCTTTCCTGGCTTATACTTCACCACGATTTTTTTGTGCGAAGAATGAGAGCCAATTGGCCATCCTCAGCGAGAGTCGACGAAAGAGTCGCAGAGCGTAAGTGCGCAGGATCTGTGTAGATCACGAACGGCTCGAAGACGTGCAGATGAGCCCTAAAATTGACAGGTACATACTTCATCGCAAGTAACTCCTTGTCGTGATCCGGATAATAATTCTCAGCAGCCCGAAGTTGGTAAGATTCAGCCGCAATCACCCGATCTCGCCCCTCAGCGTCTGCTTACAGCAGTGCACAGCCGATGTCAAAGTCCAAAGCGTCACTGAAGACACTGAAAGATCGATCAAGGTCTGACAACGCAGTATTGGTGCATGTGTTTGACCTCGTCAAAAACTTCCCAATGCTCGGTGCCCCAACACCATTCCGCATCCTTTTTAAGGAGATTGAACAATGGCCGTGCAATTACTGCGTAGTTTTCGCTGTGCTTATGCAAGTAGTTGGCAACACCAATCCACTTGCTGAAGTCCTTTTGATGCTTTGGAATCGGCTAGTCCACAATGGCCTTGACCTTTGCGGGATGTGCTCGAATGCCACACTTTCGGATGAAGCACCCTAAACAGGGGATTTCTTTCACGCCGAAGATACACATGTATGCATTAGCAAATAGCTTTCTCGTACTCGAGCACCGCTCTTACATGGACGACGGGTCCTTTTCATCTGCCCCCTTGCTCCGCACGACTGTGACGAATATGTCGTCGAAGTGTGTCCGTGCATACGGCCGGTGGGGCCTGAACAACTGCGTCACAAGAAGGTTAAATGTTGCTGGTGCATTTGCCAGCCCTTCGGGCATCACCAGCCACTCCTAGAGCATCCAGATCGAAGTACACTTACTCTCATGAGCAATTGGTAATATCCATCGATCAATACGAGTGCATTGTACTGTGTATAGCCAACCAAGTTGTTCTGGATAGCATCCTTCCTAGGAATCGGCATCTGTGCCGGAATGTTGGCAACGTTAAGCTTACTGTAAGCGAAAACGATACGCCACTTGCCGTTCGGCTTCCTAAAACAAAACGCGGGTGTCGAATGGGAAGCTTGCATTCACGCATCATTTCTGCATCGGGCTTCACACGAAAAAGGCGTTAATCACGTCACATTGATCCTTGGGTAAAGGCCATTGTCGTGTTACGCAGTATTTCCTTCTCGGAACCAGGTCGATCTCATGACGCACACCTCGGCCTTGAGGTAGGACTGACGGCGGGATCTTTGGGATGTCGTCTTGGAATTTCCTCACCAAAGGATAATACGCATCCGAGGGATTCTTAAGAGTCAAAGATTCACTTCTTCTGCTAAGCAC